AAAAAAAAAAATAACTAGAAATGGGTCCTGGTTTATTGCAGGTCATGATACAATCACAGATCAGATCAGGGCCAGATAGGTGAAAAAAAAGTTTTGTGACAGACATACAAAAGGTTCATTAAGTATTTGCAAAATTAACAAGTGAATTTGCATATGATTAGTGCAACTGACAGAACAGGCAGGAACCTGACAGGTGAAGATAGACGAAGGGTGTCCTGGAGTCTGGCAAAGACTAACAGCAATAAGTACAGTGAGGAGATGGCAAAGAATTAAAGAGCTCAATTAAAGAAATTGAGAGAGAACAGTGCCTTGAAGTAACAGTGGGGCTAGATGACACTATAGACTCTTAATCCTCTTTTAAGTTAGGAACAGAAACAATGCTTAACTAACAACATGCTTAGTTAGTTCTGAGTTTTAAACTTCTGGCTTATTTGCAAGTAGGTGAGGACTATCACACCTCACTGATCAAAAGCATGAAAAACTTGCAGTCTTTCCTACTTCTCCCTAAATGTGTCCATTTCTGACACTTTCCCTAGAAAAAAGAATAGTAGAAAAGTTATTGCAGGTAATTAAGGTTTTCAGATTTGAGGGCTTTTTCTTTGTGGCATTAGTAACAAACATTTTCTAAAATAGTATGGTTGCCTTACTAAGAACCCAGTGGCAAACACCCTTGTTCTATAGCGCTCTTCCGTTTTCCCCATTGTATTTGAAGTCCAAGTCTCCAACCTGGAACATCAGCTCCAGAATTCCATGCACCTCTGATATGCTTCTACACTAGTTGCAAAATGATGCTCAGGCTTTCAGTCTCTTAAGAGTACAACAGACTGGGCCTCCCTGGTGGTGCAGCACAGCACTGAGAAGCTAAAGCCACTTCAGCATGAGTTCGATCCCTGCCTGCCCTGGAGGAGACCACATGGCGCAGCAGACCTCTCCTGACCATCCCACTGCTCCCCTCAGCAGTGTACTTCGTTGAGCTGCCTGTTCTACTCCCCACTCTGTCTCTGGTGAATCCTCTCACTGCCTTTGCACCTCTGGCCTGTACCCCAGGTCTGTA